AATAGACAACCAATATATTAGCAAGGGAATTATTATTAAGTTTTCAAGAATAGTTTATTTCTTGTGAAAAATATCTCATTTACTGGTTTGCTCAAAAGTCTATTTGTTATAGAGAAAAAAGAACATTGAATTAAGTCAAGAGACATGGATTTCAGCATTGCTTCATCCACACATATGATATGTAAGCTCGGGCAAATCACTTGGTCTTCTGTGCCTTTATTTCCTTTTCTCAAATTAGGGGTTTCACCGTTTGCCTCTTGGCATCCACAGGGATGCTGCAAGGGACAAATAGCATAATGCATATGAAAGCTCTTTGAAAGTTTAAAAACCACTGACTGCTCAATATAACTCCCAGTCTATGCCAAAACCTCCCTTCTGCAGTGTAAAGGGAGCCAGGAAGATGACTAAAGGGACCAGCCATCCCAGTGGTGTCAGTCTCTTCGACCATTGCAGCCTGGTCTTTGTCACCAGGAAATAGCTACATTTGCAAATCTTGGAATTAGAAAATTAATTAAAGTGTTCAACAAGCCTATATTAATCACATACTATCTGCCAGATATACTGTGCTCTGCAGCGGATGTTACAAAATAAATTACATATGGATCCCTTGATGATGACTCCATCAGCTCTTTTATTTTAAAGAAACTGTGCAGAATGAAGAACCAACAGGGAATGAGAGAATCTAGATCTTCCCACTCCTTACAGCTGTGTGATTTTAGATAGATCAGATAAACTCTTTGAACCCCTTGACTTTCTTATCTAGGAAATGGTAGCAACTAGTAGCCATCCCACAAAGGCTTTCTGTTTGCTTTTCTTCCTATAGAGAAATGATGTAAAGTAGATAACTAGCTGTATGAACCATAGAACAACATACAAATTCTCTAAGGTGAGGCTGGTTTTTATTACCCAAGGTCATAGAGCTCATTAAAGGAATACTGGGAAAGTCAGCCACCATAGACCCTACTTTTCCTTCGTGAACTCTGTGACCTTGAGCAACCCAAGGAAGAGGTAACTGAGCAGCAACTACTACTTCGGAAGAAACAGAATCGAAATATTGAAGCTATTGACTCACCCTTAAGGCAGTAAACAATGCTTTGGTCTCTGACCTTTTCGCATCCTGGGGCAGTCAATAACCTGGCCGCTAGATGCAGCGCCTGCCACTGATTTTGATTTGGGAGTAGTTTAACCTTGAACTGAGCTCCAAGTAACCAAGGCAACAGGAAGTCAGCTTCTGCATCGAAGGAGAAGGAATCCATAAATCAAGTCCCTAATGCAAACACGGTGTGCAGGTAGAGGTTTGAGGGGATAAGTGGTCTATGAGAAATTACCTTTGAAAATGAGTGACTATTTCTACATAGGCTACAGCACAGTTTCAAAGACTTTAAAAAAAAATTATCAATAGAGGTCAACAGGTTATAGCAGAATGTTTTCCCTGTAGGTTTAACTTTTTTTATATTTCCTCCTGGCTGTGTCTTTTAATTAAGAACAGATGTTGGATTCACCAAGTTATTAGCATTGTTATTTTCCTCTTTAAAAACATACTGGCCTCCAAATAGGCAATCCTCAGTGTAATTTGTCTCATGTTGGGGTTTAGGGATGCTCTGAACACGCCTACCAACAGTGCTCTCCATACAGTCTGCTTTCTGAGTTTGAGACAGTGATCCCTTGTTAGAGCAAACCCATGCTATTACTAATTGTCTCCGTGTAAGCAGTGGTGCTATATCTCAATGGTCCCGTCATTACAGGGTTATTATATCTGGGTTTCTTTATCATCACCCTCTAGCATCAAAAATCTTTCTCCCATTGATAGAAGCCTGGTTCATGCTGGGAAGAAACTTTTCAAATGCCCCCCACCACTTTGCTTTTGCTCATCACAGAGTATTAGTAGCCACCTGGAATGAAGGGAAATGAAGAGACTTCCAGAGGCCAGCCTGCCCAATGCACTCTCCCAAGGACCCCCATCACTGTCTTCTGACACCTTTGCCCTCAGACAGATTTTGTGGATTAATAAGTGTTCATAGATTAGTCTTTGTTTAAAGTTTACATAATATTGTTTGTGTTATTTCTGGAGTTGTTTCCCTTATCCTTTCAAAATCCAAAAATGAGAAAAAGTCAGGGCTTTCTTTTTCTTTTTAAATTTGTTTTCAAAATCATTGGGTGGCAACTAGCAAGCAGTACTATAATCTAGAAAATTCTAGATTATCTAGGGTTTTCAACAGAGCTAATAGTGACCATCTAAATTATAGAGCATTTTAAGTATCATTTTATTTCTTTTAGTATATTCTGTAACATAAACACTTAAGGAGCAAAGTATACCCATGAGAGGTCTGATTGGATCAACTCTAATGAATTGATGTGGATGGAGACTAATTTGGATTGTGAGCATTTGCATAAAAATGGGTACAACTAAAGTGACTTGAATCAGTTTATTCCCAAGTGAAAGTTAAATATCTGACTGCTAATCCTGTTTATGGCCTTCATGCTCCAAGCATATCATAATTTGAACAAAGAATTCCCTTCCTAGCTTGTGTCCACAGGTACAAAGATGACATATTAGTGAGTTTTTCCAGAGGAGCTGCCATTCAATAGAAACCTGACAGCTTAGATATCCTGAGATGTTCTATGGAAACTCTGCTTCCATCCATTTGGTGGGAATGCCTTGGTGGTGCAGTGTACCAAAACGGGAAATTTTCATCAGACTTATGCCTGCTCTGCCCATTATCAGATTTTTTAGCAGCCAGTTGTGAAAACATATCAGTCATTCTGCCTCAGTGCCCATAGGCTTCTGGATATTTTCTAAACTGTGTTTATTTTCTTAAAGGAAAGAAAAATTTAATACGTTTGTGGTTTTTAAAAATATTAACAGTGAAGAAGGCTGAGAAGTAAAAAACACTTCCTCTTCCTCACCAGTCTCTGAGATCTCCTTCCTCAGAATAACCACTGCTACCTATTTGGATGTGTCTCTCTACAGATGATTTTGAATGCATTTTAAATATATGTCTATACCTAGCCCATGATGAGCACACCTGCATATTTTACAAATAAGGCATATTATACACTTTCTAGTTTCTTGATGGCTGTGCCTTGCAATCTGTCTGTCATAGAATTTGATGTTTGCCTATCTCCACCTTCAAAATGCTATGACATATAAAGTCCAAGAAAAGCGTAAGTGGCATTTTTGCTCATGGCATCACAACTGAGAGTTTCAGAGACTGGAATGGAGAATAAGAAGAAGGAAGGTGTTAAATGTCAGCATGACTGTATTCCGTAGGTAATTACAGATGCCTTATCCAGGTAAGATGCTGGGGCCTCTTCATCCTCAGGATGATATATGCTGTCAACAAACTGGGGTCATCATCAGGTATTAAAGTATGGCCAGGTGGACCAATATGATCCCTAGGTTTAGTATCTGGCTACCTGGAAACTTCCAGCCTTGACAATAAAAGCTGTATGAGTGAGTTCAGTTTTCCTTTAACCTTTTAGAAATGTGTTCTCTTCATCTGTAAAATTGAAAAAATTGTAATACCCACACTACATGCTTCACGGGGTTTCCACGAGGCCCAAGAGAAGCTGCTCTCACTATGGCATTGAGATAATGTTACTCTGGGAGGGGACTACATCATTCAGGTTAGTTGGGATAGAAAAAAATGAGTCAAGAACCAATATGATAAGGCCCAATTTGTTTTTGTTGCTGTCAAGTTATGTAGCCTACAGATGAAGAAACTCTGAATAGGTGGCTATCTGAAATGGATTCACATGCATATCCTCAGCCTCTGGGCTTACATTGGGTGAGTTAGAGAGCCTTGTTTTTGCATTGGTGGGGAAAGGTGCCCATACATTCTTAGTCATGTCAGGGAAAACAGCTGAGCCTTTGCTTGCTGGTTACAATTGGTTCTGAGGAAGCAGCAGGTCATAGTAATGACAGCAACAATAATAGGGATAAAAACAATGTTAGGCACTTTTATAGCATGGGCTATGCACTGGGCACTGCTGTAAGCTCTTTACATCGATTGACTTGTTGGATGATCACAACAGTCCCTACAAGGTACTATCATCACCACCCCATTTTTACAAGTAAAGAAGTTTAAAACTTGGAGAGATTAAGTAACTTGCTCTTCATCACAGAGTTGGAAAGTGGCAGAGCCTGTATTCAAGCTCAGGAAATGAGATTGCAGAATAGCTCTTACTGTTAGTTACACAGGAAATTTCCAAGCCCTTACAGGGGCACCTCCTGTCTACTCTGGCTTTTCAGCATCGTCATGACATGACATATGATGCCTGATATGAACCGGCAATCAAAGGCCCTCAGATCAGCTCTCCTTACCCTACAGGCTGATTACACACTAATCCCCAGAGTGCATCTCCCCCTCCAGTGTGCTGGCCTCATCTGGATCATGTTTACTCCCCACCCATGCCTTAGCCTATGCCCTTACTGAGAATGCCTTTCCCTCACCCTTGAAGCTTCTGTATAGCTTTTCCTCACTTGTTTCAGTACAGATCTCCACATCCTTAGAACGCCCCAAACACCTAGGATAAGTAACACACATGCCTACACAAACTTGTTGTCCAATATTTTCTTCTCATTCAGTCTTGTTTCTCCAGCTGGATAAGATGAGAAGTCTTACTAGGATGGGAGCCATGTCTCCTCCACTCTGAACTTGCCTTCATGCTCCACACAGCACCGCCTCTGTAAAGATGGGAATATACATCCTCAGAAGGCAAAAGGGCACCTGATGGATCATTCTGCTTCATGAGGCCTATGCTGTGACCCCACCTTTTCCACGCAGCCAACCTAGAATGGTGTCACTCCTAACCTCAGCCACAAAACCAAAACCGGTCATAGCTATTTTTTCTCTTTAAGCATTTTTAAATTTTATTCTTCTTGTACCAGAAGGAGGTGTTCAAATCATTTGACCATATCCTCAGATCATGTTCAGGTTATATGTTGTCTATCTTCCTGTTCCCTTAGAGTGACTGAAAGTTTTGGGGTTATTTTTTAGGAATGCCAAGTCCCCACTTAAAAGTGGACCAGACAGCAGTGCATAGTAAGAACGAAGGCTCTGTGCCCACCATGATGACCAGGAAGAAGCCAGCCGCAGTTGACAGTGTTACAATCCCACCAGCCCCCATGTTATCTCTCCTTGCTGCATCCACAGCGACGTCGGACGCAGGTGAGCGCTTTTCAGATGCTCTGGGTTCACTCCAGGCAAGACCAATGTGGACAAAGCCCACTGAGAATGTCCTGTTGAATACAGGTAAGAGTTCTCTGTTTTGCCAACCTCCCATACACTCTGAACACAGGAGCTGTTTCAACACTGGGTCTTTCAAGTGGGAGGAGATCTTAGAAAAGAAGATCTCCTGGGAATGTGGAGGGCAGTGTACTCTGGAAAGCTGTTCACTTTATTCTAATACTGGTCAGCTGAGTAGCAACTAAATGCTAACATGATTAATCACTCTTTATCAAGCCTTAGGAATTACTGATCTCTGCGTCAAGGGCCTCATATATGTTATTTCTTGCAACTCATAAAGTAAACACTTGTATTCTCATTTTCAGAAAAGGACGCTAAGAATAAAGATCCAAAGTGAGGATTCCAAAGCCCTTGTTCTCAACCCAGTGCGTTTCATTGCCTCCCATGCTTATGGGACTTGAAAGACAGTAATTACTGTTTCCTTGATGCATCAGTACCTTCTGCCCATGGATTCATGAAATTCTCAATAGTTCTCAGAGTCCTCGCTAGCAGAGGATAAAATATAAACTCCATATTTAGATATCTCAGGTTATCCACAGCCTGGCCCTTTCTACCTCTTTTCCCCACCGGGCCTCCCGCCAGCCCCTATGCCCACCTCCATTGTGTGAAGCTCATTCCTGCCCCCAGGAAGACAGGCCTTGGGTTTGGCTCAACACCTGAACTTGGAGACAGCCTTCCTCAATTCCTAATGACGTCCTACAAGTCCTTAAAACCCAGATAGACACAGCTCCTCTAGGATATCCAGAATCTCTACCATGCAGTTCCTAACATTTCATAGACTGCATTAAAAAAAGTGTTGATGATTTAACAGCTTCTCACATGTAACAAAATTGCACATACCTCAGAGGCAGAGACAACCATTTAGATTCTTGCTATCTTCCTGACACGTAGCAGGGCAATGTTGCATAGATATTTCTTGAATTAACATATTAATGTAAATGTGGCAAGCACATTGCAATATTTAGAAAGGCCTGTTATAGTTAGAAACCCAAGAAGAGACTCATTCTTAATATTTACTCCAAATTCCTTTTCTAATTTAGCAGTTTGCTTTAAGCAAAGAACTCAACTTGTCTACATACCTACCTCCTTCATGGAAATCACTGGTTATTAGAAAATGAGCCAGTTGGAATAAAAGAAAGGAACACTTGGAATGACACTTCCCCAGTTGAATTCAGCAAACTACTAGTAGGTGTTTTGTGATAAAGAACGTTTTCATGGAAAAGTAGATGTAGAAAAGCTGCTGCCTTACCCCTGGCGCCTTCCTGCAGGGCTTTTCAGGTCTTGCATTGACCAATGTGCATTGTGAGGTCCTAGGAGGAAGACACCGAATTACACAATTGTATCTAACCACACAACCCATTTTTCTGGAACTGTCTCCTAACTCTCCTGGAAATGGTGTTCTCTCCAGCCATTTGAAAATTCTTGCTCTGAAGGAATAGGGTCATCTCTCAGGTATTATAATGAGCCTTCATTTGGTGTGAAACAAAACGTTTTTGGTGGAATTGCCAGGTAAATGGTGCCGGTGAAGAGTACAGGAAGACAAAGGATTGAAAGTCACAGAGAAATGCAGAGCAAGTTACCACTGAGACTTGATGGATTAGTAGCACCTTGGTGGGAGGGTGTCTAAACAAAGGAAACAAGTTGGGCAGAGTCCTGGAAGTGGGAACTGGTGCCGCGGCTGACTTCAAGGAAGACATAATTTGGCTTAAGCAAAAGATTTAGGCTACGGTCTGCACCCACCCAGATAAGTGGGTATTCGACCTTGTTGATTAAGCACTGGAGACTTCCCTTTATGGATTGAGGAATTAAATTAGGCTTTGTGTTTCTGGCTTTGCTTGCCATGCACAGATATTTCTGTGAGGCCAAGGACAGGTGGTCCCCCATTTTGCTCCCCTGCGCTCTTTCCCTTCAATGTAAGATAATCTATTTTTGGGATCACGTGCTTCTATGGGCTTGCCTTCTCTAGTGCATCCAGTAAATAATTTACAAATATGCCAAATGGGCAGTAGAAACAGGTGGGTATTACACTTTTATACGTGCCTCCCTGGTAATCGGAGCTGAGTCCAGACTCCCCTGTTCCAGCATCTGAGAACGGGCTGTTTATTTTTGGCAGTACTTAAACGAGACCCTCATGAGAATTTTACACAATTAGTCCATATCCGGGTCTCTGGCTGCTGAGCTGGACTTTTGGGGGGAAATAGGCCAGATATCTGCCCCAGGTGCTGGAAGACAGACCTTCTTACGATTTCACTCCCGACAGATAGAAAGCTTCCCACAAACCTGGGAGAGCTAGAAAACACACAGGCTGGGCTTGTGGCCAATGCTCTGTTTTACACGTGAAGAAACTGAGGCCTCTCGAGATTCAGAGATTTGCATGAGGTCATACAATTGGATTGGAACCCAAATTTCCCGATTTACAGTCTGGTTTCCAGTGGATTCCCACTTTTGTCATAGTCCCAACATGAGCAAAGGCAGATATTTTCCTCCATACATATGGACTCCTACTTCTTTTGGAGAACAGTGAATGAAACTCCTAATTCAATGAGGTAGATAGCTTTAGCCAAAGCCAAGCACATAGTGGATAGTGAATAGTTTCTGGATTCAATCTTATTTAATTAGGTGCATGTAATATACAGTAACATTTATATAGTGCAGTAATATATATTTCTGATGAAACAACTCACTTGACTTTTGTTTTCTTTAGAGCACCGGTTTTCATCTTTCACCATAAGTAAGGTAGAGTTACTTCTGGCTTTAGGCAGGAATCAGCTTGTTTTCTAATAGGTTATCATTTCTATAGAATGGTTTTGGAAACCCGGACAATTGCAGGGAGGAAAAAAAAAGGAAAGAAGAGTTAAACTAAGTGGCTTGTAAAGAAAATATAATTTAAGAAATCATGTCTTGAGATAATGTACTGAAGTAATTCAATTAATTAGAAATTTTATTTAGAAATAATGGATGCAGGTCAGAGGTAGTGGCTTACACCTGTAGTCCCAGCACTTTGGGAGGCCAAGGCTGTTGGATCACGTGAGGTCAGGAGTTCGAGACCAGCATGGCCAACATAGTGAAACCTCTACTAAAAATACAAAAATTAGCAGGTCATGGTGACACAGCCCTGTAATCCCAGCTACTTGGGAGGCTTAGGCAGGAGAATTGCTTGAACCTGGAAGGCAGAGGCTGCAGTGAGCCAAGATCACGCCCCTGAACTGCAGTCTAGGTGACAAAGCAAAACTCACGTCTCAAAAAAATTAAAAATTAAAAAAGAAGAGTGGATGCAAAAATACCTAGTACAGTTTCTGATCCATAATACATGCTCAGTAAATAATCACTGAGTGAAAGGAATGGTTGAGAGGCAGTAGCTGTGTGCTTTTACAGTGCTAAATATGCTGAGAGACATCTGAGAAAAACATAGTCTTGGAACTGCTTAACAAGTAAATGGAAAACATTTGACAGGCACTTTGTAGCCTCCTGGAAAATACTTGCCAAATAGTTCCTCAGTCTATAGTAAGAACAGTACTTTTTTCAAACAGGTGATCTTTGGTAAAAGTACAATAAAGGAACATTCCCACCTTATTTTATAAACATTACAATGTGGGAGAAAAAAATATGGGTCAAAGGTTTACAAATTAGTATTTTCTAGCCTGTGCATGCATTTGCTCCATGGGTTCCCCAAGTATTTTGTTTCAGGCAATTTTTTACCTTCTCAGAATCTCAGAGGCATACTGATTATGACATTATTGATTTGTAGAAGGGCACCGTCGAGGAGATGCAGGAGAGAGTGGTGAGCTGGGAACATGTCAGTTTGTGAGCTACTGGGAGGGAGGATGGCAGTGGCTGCTGTAGGTGCTCAAACAGATCAGCCTTGGTGATCAAACTGCTCAATAGCTATTGATGAGCTGCTGTTCCCTGGTGCAGCAAAGGAGGTCTGATTCAAGGGAGCACTGCATCATTATTGTGAGTAATTAGGGCTAATGCAATAAAAGCGCCACTAAAGTTTGCTCAAAGTGAGGCATAATTTGCAACAACTTCTATTACCCTAGCCCAATAATGATTTCATAATCATATCGGGTAATCCATACCTGAATAAGCCAGGCTGATTTTTCTGAGTTTCTAGATATTGAACTAACATCTCAAGAAGATCATGTAATGTATAGAGAATTTGAGATTTCATTGCAGTAACATGTTTTTTCCCCTTATGTCTAAGATGAGTCTATATTAATAAGCAGATTCCAAATGGTGGTAAGAATTCAGTAAAACATCAAGGAAACAAAATCTGTATTGTTTTGCACCTGAAAGACTAGACTAGCAATAATGGGAAAACAAGTATACCTACCCTTCTTGTTCTCTCTCATGCACGTGTCATGAGCGCGCACACACACACACACACACACACACTCACGACAGAGAGAGAAAGAAAGAAAGATACCCGTCAATATTCTCTCATCTTAAGTCCAAGGAGTAAAGAAAGCAAACATGTATCAGCCAAGCTATCATCAGATCTCAACTGCTCCAGGTGTAGCTCAGTTCGAGATAACAAGGAAGTACAGTGAGCCCTGCTCTTAGCTTCTGTTTTGTATCAAGGCTAATCCATTATTATCTCAACTATATCATCTACCATGTTTAAAATTACCAGAGCCCATGAAGAACTGAAAATACTTAAATTTCATAAGTCTATTGCATTTTTAGGCATTTTGTTTCTCATGGCAGAAACTAATATTAGGTAAATCATTCTGTTATTAGCCAAACCAGCAGTCCAAACAGAAGTGATACCTGTAGTCAAGATGCAAAACTTTAATCTTGAAAAATTAATTACCTTTACAAATAACAGTGGGAATTCTTAATACTAATGAAATCAGAATGAAATTCAATATGGTAGTAGCTGGAACAAAATGGTTGTGAAAATTGCTTTCGGCTCCCAAATTCTATGATACCTAAGTTTTCTCTTAGCCACCTGCCATCTGTGGGAAGAGGCCCAGAGTAATGAAATAATATCCAGCTACAAAAAA